GCTGAGATCTACGCTGGGGCCGTGGCTGCACAGTAGTTACGCTGGCTCACCTACCTGCTGACCGACTTGGGAGAGGTGCCTCGTTCTCCTCCAGTTCTGTACGTCGACAGCAAGGCCATGCTTGCCTTGTGTGAGGAGCAGAGACTGGAGCACAGAACAAAGCACATTGCTCTGCGCTACTTCCTTGCTCGAGAGTTGCAGCAGCGTGGTCAGCTTCGTCTTGCTTACGTGGCCACTCGGGCCAACACTGCTAATATCTTTACCAAGGCACTTCAGCCTTTTGATCATCAGCGCTTTTGTACTATGTTAGGTCTTGTGCCTACCTGGCCTCACTTGCTCACCTCTTGACTTTGCTTGTACTGTGATCTATATATACCTGCTCGTACATGCTTACCCTTGCTAGGTTGAGATCACTGTCTTGCTTGTTCACCTTGATTTATAACCCTGCATGTGAACTGGCCTTGTGGCCTTGTACTTGTGCTCGGAATGTGTGGTGACGTCGTATCCACCCTGAGCTTGACTTTGCCTTGTTCTCTTGCTTGTCCCCCACTTTGCCTATGGGGGTGTGTCAGAACTATGTTGTAGGATGTAGTGGGGTACTCCTTATGGGGTTCAGCCCTATTAGGTTTGCTATACAAGCCTTGTACCGTTCTCATTCTAGTCATTCTCGTTTCATACTTTGTGACATACTTTGTGTAGTGTAACATTTCACTTGGTGTAGGCCCTTGTGAAGGGTAGTTTCGAGACCCTTCGTGGTTGGAGACAGTGTGGCACTGTTCCACATCACTGTACCTCGGCTCTTGGGGTTTGTAGGAGCTGGGAGTCATTCCCAACTCGTAACTCTTCCTAATTTGTGTTCTAAGTCTATTGTGGCTGCAATAGTGCCATTCGTTCAAACTGACATTGTGTCGTCAACACTTAATCAAGTCGTGTGACCTAAATTGCCTATTGTAGGCAACTTTAAGACGCTCCGGATCCAAATTGAATCATGTCATTTGTAGCTATAAACAGAACGCTATGATCGTTCAAAGCCGCTGTGCAGAAATCCGACTGTGCACTCTATCTGTTGTTTCAGGCACATTTGAGCCTATTGTGACTATAACAGCAGTGTACTCAAGAACATATGGCCAGAACTTTAAAGAGAGGCTGGCCTTGGTGGTCGTGGCGTGCACTCTGTCCATGAGGGCGGGGTTAACCTGCTCGGCAACTCCATCCTGCAGTGGCGTGTGGGGTAAGGATGTTTGGTGGCTGATGCCTTGAGAGCTTAGATAATTTGTGAAGGAATTTGCTATCTACTCCCCTCCGTTGTCAGTGCGTAAGGCAGCCAGCGGATTTGTGGGCAGCTTGGTCTTCATCTCGCGATGCCAAGCCGAGAAAACAACTGCCATATCGGACCGGCAAGCCAACGTTTCCACCCACAGGTAGTTTGTGCAGTCATCCGTGAGCGTCAGCACTTAGCGAAGTGAAGGGTGAGCATCACCCAAGTCCGTGATGTCGCTATGCACGAGCTCCAATGGGCACGTTACATTTCACGAGGCTTCAGTTAGTAACAGGGGGTCGACTTCTTCCAGATCTTCTCCCCCACCCCTAAGTTGACCAATCTTCGTGTTATAGTCACAATAGGCTCCAATGTGCCTAAAACGAAAGATAGAGTGCATAGTCGGATTTCTGCACAGCGGCTTTAAACGTTCATAGCGTTCTGGTCACAGCTTTAAATGACCTGATTCAATTTGGATCTAGAGCGTCTTTAAGTCGCCTACAATAGGCAAATTAGACCGCACGATTTCACCAAATATTGAAGACACAGCATTGGTTTGAACGAACGGCACTATGGCAGCCACTATGATCTTAGAACACAACTTAGGAAGAGTTAGAAAGGGTTACGAGTTGGGAATGACTCCCAGCTCCTACAAACCCCAAGAGCCGGGGTACAGTGATGTGGAACAGTGCCACACTATCCCCAACCACGAAGGGTCTCGAAACTACCATTCACTAGGGCCTACACCAAGTGAAATGTTACACCACACAAAGTAATGCAACTATCTTCAATATCTTGAGGTGTACCCTTTTCGCGGGCTTCGCGATCACTTGAATCTTGACACCAAGGCTTTTCTTCACCACAAACTCATCCTTGAGTTCTTGATGGGTCTGCTGCACACACCTGCGACACGCCGAACGTTCGACAAAGGACAAAATAGAAACCGCGCAAGACACACAAGCGACAAAATAGAAACCGCGCGGGACACACAAAATGATCGCGTAACACGCGACTAGCGATGACTCGCTATTGAGTCGACACACACACACACACTTGGCATCATGACCCATCATACACACACTATTATAGGCATGAAATATATCTTATCTCATGCCCGCATACCATTCCATACACACGCGCATGCACGCACACGGACAACAAGCCGAGTGCAAACCGTAGGGTTGCACCAACACTTCGGGTGTTACAACACGTTGCAGCACGGCGTGACTACGAGCTCCACTCGCTTGACTTCTCGACAACTTTCTTGCATGGCAGCCTTTTTGAGGAGATCTGGTTGCGCCGACCGGCTGGCTTCACTGGGTCGTTTCCTGAAGATACCCATTGGAGTCTTTGGCGGCCAGTCTACGGTCTCCGTCACGCGCCCTGCGAGTGGCATGACACATTGAGGACTACACTTGCGGCTCTGAGGTTTGCTCCTTTCGACTGCTGACCCGTCGCTGTTTATGCGCTCCGACTCTTATCTACATGTTGGGCTGAGAAAAGCCCTTAGGATCTTTGCAGGGGTGAACTCTGGGTAGGACTGATGTAGTAGCGGAAGCGTTTAATGAAGAGTTGTGAACCACCTTGCGCTAGTATGTGAGGGCAAAGTAAGTTAATTAAAGCAAAGAGATACAGGATTATATAAGAGTACAAGGAATATGAAGAGATATAGTTATAACTACTTTACTGTTGCTGTTGCGGTTCGATACAGTGACGACTCGGGCAACTGCTCTGTAGCGAGTCAGTTGTGTGTCCTTGCTGTCGCGCTGTACTTGTCAGGTCAAAGGTCGCTGACCTTTGACTTTCGCGTAACCTCCAGCAGTTACTTCAACCTCCGAGGGTTGACTCGCTGGTGCCTCGATATGCTTCGCTTCGCTTGTGCCTTGGTGTTTCGACACGACAGAGGCGCTTAGGCTTGATTGTTTCCAACACTACATCCTCGTGTGCGTTGACGACTTGGTCTTTGCTACTGCTGATACTGAGGCACTGGCCCTTGCGAAGTCAGGGCTGCAGAAGAGACACACATGCACAGACCTAGGTGAGTTGCGCAGCTATCTTGGCTTGCAGATCACCCGGGACAGAGCACGGCGCACCATTTGTTTGACTCAGTCACACATGGTGCACCAGGTCCTTCAGCTCTTCGGCTTCCAGTTATCCTTGCCACATTCCACTTCTCTTCCTACAGGCCACTCGCTCTTAGCTCCACCTTCGGTCGAGTCCGTAGAGCCGAGTGTATTGTATCCAGAGCTTGTGGGCTCATGTACGTGATGACTTGCATTCGACCTGACCTCGCGTACCCTCTCAGCATTCTGGCGCGCTACGTTGCGCCGGGGAGACACTGACCTGAGCACTGGCGGGCTGCGCAGAGGGTGCTGCATTACTTGTGCTGTACATCGGGCATGGGGCTTGTGGTTGGCGGACGGGGCCCAATTGTACTCACAGGACACTCAGACGCGTCCAGTGTGCCAACTAGTGATGAAATTGTATTTGTGCATTACATCTTTGCCAGTACGAAAGACGCCTGGGCTTTGTAAATGTGCTCTGTACGCAAAAAGCAGTGTACCATTATTATTATCCCTGAAAAACAGTCTACTCAAAGTTTTACGGTGATATTCTCAGGCTACGAAAAGTTATCCACTGTATTACTCAGTCTAACGGCATGGGAATGCAAATGAGCAGTATGTGTGCTTGTTGAACGCAATGCAACGGCGTGCTGCCTTTAGCTTGATGAATCACCGACCTCTTCAGCACCGGCAAAACATAGAATCAACTTCGTGAAAATGCTACGAGGAGCGTAAAGCTGCTACCATATCCACTCCCACCACGGACGCATGGGCACGAGGTGGAGCGCTCGTGCTGCATCACGCCTTGTGACTGTCTACAGTGCAGCCCGCAATTGTTGCGCCCATGTGCCCGTGTGTCCGTGTGCCCATGTCCCCATGTGTCCGTGTGCCCGTGTGTCCGTGTGCCCATATCCCCATGTGTCCATGTGCCTGTGTGTCTGTGTGCCCATATCCCCATGTGTCCGTGTGCCCGTGTGTCCGTGTGCCCATATCCCCATGTGTCCATGTATCCGTGCATGCAGCATGGACCCTGCCATGATGCCCCTCAGATGCACGTCACATACAGACTGCGCAGCGCGCACGTGAAACCAGGGCGGTGGCAGTTGATGGCGTGGAAAGAGCATTTGTCACTTCAGAAACTCACTCCCCTCGTAACGTCAGCTGACAGCGTGTGGCTCCCCGTGACGTCAGCTGCCAACGTATGGCTCCCCATGACGTCAGCTGACAGCGTGTGCCTTCCCGTGACGTCGGTCGCCAGCGTTTTGCTCCCCATGACGTCAGTCGCCAGCGTTTTGCTCCCCATGACGTCAGCTGAAAGCGTATGGCTCCCCGTCACGTCAATCTGGCAGGCGATATCTGGCTTCCTTCCCCCTCTGCTCGCACTGCCGTCCCCCTCGTCGCACACCCATGGTCGCACGCCCATGGTCGCACACCCCTGGTCGCACGTCCCTGGTCGCCACCCCTAGTCGCACACCCCTGGTCGCCTTATGTGGGCCTCTCATCAACAGCAGCCCTGTGGTGACGGGAAACACAGTCTGATTTTTCCCTGGCCAAGTCTGTAGCTCCCTCAACGAGCCACAGCACGTTACGTGCGCCTCTGCTGCACTGCTGCGCGCACCACATGGCATGTGCGATGGCGCGCGCTTCGCTTCAGTTCTCTTAGGGCGGTGCTAGGCGCCTCAGCCATTTTCCAGTGCCACGTCATCTTTGCGCGGCTCTAGCGCCGTGCGGCACACGGGGCAGGTGGTGTGCGAGAGCAGCCAGCAATCGATGCACGCCACGTGGAAGAAATGGGCGCACGGCGGCAGGCATCGCAGCTGCTCGCCGTCCGCGAAGTCGCTCAGACACACCGCGCACTCCGTCGCACCAACCTCGTCGCACTCCGTCGCACACCCCTCGTCGCACGCCGTCGCACCCCGCTCGTCGCATTCTGCGCTGCTCTCTGTTCCTTCCCCGCCTGCCACGCCAGGCACCATCGCCTCCGTCCTTTTCGGCCCTCCCGTCGGCATGATCTTCACCTCCGTGCCCAGCAGCACTCCACGCGCCCCACTCCCTCGTCGCACACCCCCTTTTCCTCCATTCCGCTCCCCCACGTTTCTGCCCGCTTTTGCGCTTCCGCTTTTCCCGCTAACCCACTTTCTGCGAGTTCACCGACCGAGTTACCGAGCTCCCCGTTCTCGCTATAACATCCGGCAGGCGCTTCGCCCCGCGGCAGCGCGTAACGGACGGGCTGATAGCTCGCAGCGCTTCCGCCGCGCCCCTCCTTGCCGCGCTCCCCCTTGCAACCGACGCCGGCCCTTCCGCTGCTGTTGCCCCCCGCGAGCCCTCGAAAGGTCACCACGGGGAAGGTCGCCAACGTCGCAGGATCTAGCCCGCGACTCTTCTCATCGCCGTGCGACGTCGCCGTGCGACCGCCCGCAAGCCCATCGGGGAGGTCCGCGTCGTGGATGAGAATAACGAGGAGGCTACTAGGGAGGACGGAGGCGAGAACGCGAGGGCAGCGCAGCAGGAGCGAGACGAGGAGGCCGACGGCGAAGAAGGCGAGCATGCACGCCGCCGTGCCCGCGATGAACGGCGCCAACCCCGCCACGTCCACACCGCCGTAGCTTGTAGGCGCCGACACGCTGGGCGGCACGCTGGGCGGCAGCGACGGCGGCGAGAGGGATTGGGTCTGCGGCGGTTGTTGCCCGGCCAGGGGGGGAAGCAGCGAGGGTGGTTTCGAGGGCAATTGGGGGTGTGGGGGATGGTGCGAGGGATGAGGAGGTCGGTGAGGTTGCGTCAGCGGTGGAGACAGGGGCGGGGCGAGGGGCTGGGCGACGAGAGACGAGAGGAAGCGTGCCATGATGCATTCGTAAGCTCGTTTCGGAGAAGTTTTAGAATACTAGGTTAGTGAGAGGAGCTCGCATACACTAAGTATCTGCAGGTGGTTGAGGGTGAGTACTGGCAATCCCGTGTAGAGTGAGGGAAGTTGGGGTGGCGCTCGGCTTGGCCTGCCTTGCTGCCAGCCTGCCTGTGATGCCGAGTTGCCAACATTGCTTTTCCTGCTGCCCGATAGACAGCCGAATCGCATCGAGTGCAAATGTGGGAAGAAATGTGGCGCGAAATTTTCATGTCAATGCACTGTCCTCGTTTGCGATTGCGACTCGAGAAATGGATGTCAAACCCCGATATCATCATGCTTTCAAATTAGGTTTTGCTGGGATTTGGATCGAAGTTGTGTATTTCTCTATGATTTCCTAACAGAGGATGTTGCAGCTCGAGAAACTCCCATACGCCGTCATAAATTTTATCAATCACGCACAATCGAAACAGCACTCAAATATTACTCCTCTCCGCGTTCCGCGTTACTCGTACGCAAAGTGCGGCGGACCAGGAAAACGTGTTTGACTAGCTTTTCGCACCTCGTCCTCCGCCGCCTCCACTTTCTCTCGTCTCACCGTCGCAACCAAATGCCTCCATGCGTTGCCGTTCACTGCCACCCAGCGGCACGCGGCATTGGCGCCTATTGCCGCCCGACAAGCACCGCCAGTGCCGACCATTCAGCCCCCACGCCGTTCCGGCCGTCGTGCGCTAGAGCTCGCAAACCCGCTGGAGCGCGGGCGCGGCCCGCCTCGTGCGCGACTGCGCAATGGAAGGCTGCCTGCTTGGGGCAAGGCGGGCGCAGTACCGCGCGCAGAGTGTGCTCGCCGCGCGTGCAGGCGGACGATGCGGCGGAGAGAGCGAGTGAGTGCCGGATAAATAGAGAGGCGGAGAGGCGTGAAAAGGAGAGGCGTGAGGAGGAGTGGCGTTAGGAGGAGTGGCGTTAGGAGGAGTTGCGTTAGGAGGAGTTGCGTTAGGAGGAGTTGCGTTAAGAGGAGTTGCGTTAGGAGGAGTGGCGTGAGGAGGAGTGGCGTGAGGAGGAGGCGATACTTTGTGCGTGTGACTCGAAGCCAACTACGGATGTATCTCCCTGCTTGCGCACCCTCTGCTTGCCCCCGCCACGCCTCAGCAGCAGCCGAGGCGGACCCGTTGGAGCAGTTTGCGCGCATCGACCACGGCAGGCAGTCGCGCACCGGCATGCCCGAGGTCAGGTGATGCCCGGGTGAGAGGGTGTCCGGGTGAGGGGGTGTCCGGGTGAGGGGGTGTCCGGGTGAGAGGGTGTCCGGGTGAGAGGGTGTCCGGGTGAGGGGGTATCCGGGTGAGGGGGTATCCAAGTGAGGGGGTGTCCGGGTGAGGGGGTGTCTGGGTGAGGGGGTGTCCGGGTGAGGGGGTGTCCGGGTGAGGGGGTATCCCTTCCTTCCACTCCTCCCTTCCTTCCACTCCTCCCTTCCTTCCACTCCTCCCTTCCTTCCACTCCTCCCTTCCCCACGCCCCACCCCCTGGTTGGTGGCAGGTGGTGTACGGGCAGGGCAAGACGGCGCAGCAGATGGCCGCCATCCTCACGGCCATGGCGGACAGGGCCACCCAGGCAGGGGGGCAGGGGGGCGGCCAGAGGGCTGTCATGGCCACCAGGGTTGATGCCGAGGCTGCACAGCAGGTGCGGTGGGATGTTTAGGTGCGGTGGGATATTTAGGTGCGGTGGGATATTTAGGTGCGGTGGGATATTTAGGTGTGGTGGGATGTTTAGGTGTGGTGTGATGTTTAGGTGCGGTGGGATGTTTAGGTGCGGTGATGGGCTTTGAAGTGCGTGCTGCAGCACCGTGAGGGTTTATGAGGCTTGAAACCCCCACCTTGATTGCCCGTGAGTGGGCAAGGGCAGCGCATTGCACTGGACGGTGCCCCCTGCCTGACCCCCTTCTCCTTATCGCCTGCTCTTGCACCCTGCAGCACTGCAGCACGCTCCCACGCTCACACAGCAACGCCTGCTACTTGGCTCCAACAATCTGCCCGACCCGCCGATTCGTCGTGCGACTTCGCAAGGTGTGCCTTGTCACATGTTGCCTTCTCCCCGCATGTGCTGCCCCCCAGCAGGTGTGTGCGGTGCTGCCGTCCGCCATCTACCACCCTCTGGCCCGCGTGCTGCACCTGCCGCTGCCCCTGCCGCCCACAGCAGGCGCAGAGGCGAGTGAGGCTGGCGAGAGTGGTGCTGGTAGCGCTGCTGAGAGCGCGGGTGACAGTGGTGGTGGGAGAGAGGGGACGAGCGGGCATGTGATGGTGGTTACGGCCGGCACCACTGACCTTCCCGTGGCCGAGGTGAGGTGCGTGGAGGCGTGCCGAGGAATGGGGGTAGAGAGAGGGCGAGGGGGCATGTGATGGTGGGGTGGGAGAGAGGGGGAACCCGCATGTAAAGGTGGTGACTGCTGGCACCACTGAACTTCCAGTGGCTGAGGTGCGGTGAGTGGAGGCGTGTGGGGCTCATTGTGGGAAGAGGTGATGGAGAAGAGAGCAAGCAAAGACAAGAGAGCCGTGAGGAGAGACGTGAGGACAGGAGTGAGTCGAGTGGTGAGGAGAGAAATGAGGAGAGAAGAGAAGACAGATGAGAGGAGAGAAGAGAAATGGAAGGTGAAAGGTGAAGAGTGGGGAGGAGTAAGAAATGCACCGGGCTGTCATGCTCCCAAATCAATGCGTTTTCTCATCTTATTTTCTCACCCACCAACACCATGCCTGCCTGCCCTTATGCTCACATGCAGGAGGCGCGGGTGACTCTGGAGCTCATGGGAGTGCCGGTGGGTCTCATCGCTGACGTGGGCGTGGCGGGGCTGCACCGCGTCATCACCCAGGCATGTCATGCACGCACCGCGTCATCACCCAGGCATGTCATCACCCAGGCATGTCATCACCCAGGCATGTCATCACCCAGGCATGTCATCAGCCAGGCATGTCATCACCCAGGCATGTCATCACCCAGGCATGTCATCACCCAGGCATGTCATCACCCAGGCATGTCATCACCCAGGCATGTCATGCACGCACCGCCTCTGCTCTCTGCTGCTCTCTGCTGCTCTCTGCTGCAGTCTGCTGCTCTCTGCTGCTCTCTGTTGCTCTCTGCTGCTCTCTTCTCTCCTCTCTGCTGTCTCTCTACTGCACTCTGCTGCTCTCTGCTACTCTCTGCTGCTCTTTGCTGCTCTGTGCTGCCCTCTGCTGCTCTGTGGCTGTGCTACCCTCTGCTTCTCTGTGCTACTGTGTGATGCTTATCAGACTCTGTGCTGTGTGGTGATATGCTTCCTGCCATGTGCTGCCATGCCACATGCACTCCCACCTTCAATCATGGCTTCACTCGGCCCTGCCTGCCACTGCCTCTTCCCAACCTGTATGGACTGTTTTTTTTTTTTTTTTTTTTTTTCATTTTTTCAGTTTGCCGCTTTACCTCCTGCCCATGCACTTGCATGAACACCCCATGCATGAACACCCCATGCATGAACACCCCATGCATGAACACCCCATGCATGAACACCCCATGCACGAACACCCCATGCATGAACACCCCATGCACGAACACCCCATGCATGAACACCCCATGCACGAACACCCCATGCATGAACACCCCATGCACGAACACCCCATGCATGAACACCCCATGCATGAACACCCCATGCATGAACACCCCATGCATGAACATCCCATGCATGAACACCCCATGCATGAACACCCCATGCACGAACACCCCATGCATGAACATCCCATGCATGAACACCCCATGCATGAACACCCCATGCACGAACACCCCATGCATGAACACCCCATGCACGAACACCCCATGCATGAACACCCCATGCACGAACACCCCATGCATGAACACCCCATGCACGAACACCCCATGCATGAACACCCCATGCACGAACACCCCATGCATGAACACCCCATGCACGAACACCCCATGCATGAACACCCCATGCATGAACACCCCATGCATGAACACCCCATGCACGAACACCCCATGCATGAACACCCCATGCACGAACACCCCATGCATGAACACCCCATGCACGAACACCCCATGCATGAACACCCCATGCACGAACACCCCATGCATGAACACCCCATGCATGAAAGCAGCTCCCCAGGATCCGGCAGGCGGCGGTGGTGATAGTGGTGGCTGGCATGGATGGCGCGCTGCCAAGTGTCATCTCAGGACTGGTGGACATGCCAGTCATTGCAGTGCCCACCAGGTGCGTGCAGCGCACCTCAGCATGCATGTGTGTGGCGATAGCACCATGTCAGCACCTGGCTCCCCCCTTCATTCTGCATTGGAGGCTGCTCTTTCATCTGCAGCCCTTCCACCCTGCATTCCCCCTCTCACTCCCTGCATTCCCCCTCTCACTCCCTGCATTCCCCCTCTCACTCCCTGCATTCCCCCTCTCACTCCCTGCATTCCCCCTCTCACTCCCTGCATTCCCCCTCTCACTCCCTGCATTCCCCCTCTCACTCCCTGCATTCTCTTTCCCTGCATTCCCCTTCCCCCTCACTGCCTGTTTTCCTACTCGCACTCGCTCCCGGCATTCCCTTTCTCTTACTGTGTGTCCCCCCTCTCTCACTCCCTGCAACCGTCTCACTCCCTGCAATCTGCCTCTCCCTCACGCCCTGCGCTCCCACCTTCTCGCACCCTGCATCCCCCCTGTATCCCACGCCCCCCAGTGTGGGGTACGGAGCATCATTTGGCGGCGTGGCAGCGCTGCTGGCAGCACTCAACGCGTGTGCGCCAGGTGTCACCGTTGTGAACATTGACAATGGCTTTGGTGCCGCTGCTGCTGCTGCACGCATTCTTTTAAGGAGACAATCGTGACCTCTACTGTAAACATGCATGTAATTCTGTGTGAGTCTGTATTGAGAGCATCGGGCGTGATTGAAGCACTCCAGTCCAGAACTAGCTGGTGTTCAAGTGGCAGCTCGGCACCATTCAGCTCGGCACACTTCAGTTCGAGAGCCTCGGTTCGGCACCATTCACTGGGATTTCCCAAACTGCAACCCGTCCTTATTGTGAATGAAGTCGCTCGACATGAGGACCTTAGGGTGCATTGCATTCGTATCTCGTGACAGACACGACGACGGAGATCCGGAAGACACAAAGTGACCTGATTTGTGTCTTCCGAACCTTGATTTGTCTGAATTTCATGCCACTTTGTATCTTACAAACATCCACACCGTGTCAGACCTCATGTCTGACACTAGATAGATACCGTACAAATGTATCCTGAGTGAGTTTATCAACAATGAAGTTAAAAATAGCTTGTGACTAACTGTACAGTGGTGTATCGGCTCGATCCTTCAGCTCTTCCTGGGACTATTTCAAGCTGGGACGGGGGTCACTATTTTGCCTGCTGCCTTTAAAGCCCGAGTCTTGAATGGCAACTTTTCATGTTCTAGATTCTTTCATGTTCAGTATATTTGAAACATTACCATTCTAGACTTGGGCTTTAACTGGGCGGCACACTGTTGAATGAGGAGTCTGGTTTCGCGCCAAAACTGGTCTTTATTGCCAAGACTGTGCCGAGCGGAATGTCGGTGCTCGAGAACAGAGGGGTTGGGTTTCCAGCCGTCAGATCATGTTTGGCATAGTTTCTGACAGTATCAGTCGCAGCAACACAAGGCATCGACCTACCTAATTTATTTCTTTCTGCATCGTCTTCTCTCAGCCATAGTCACTACATTTTGCTTCGGAAACCTCGCGATTTACCCTCGCCGTCAGATGAAATGAGGACTTCCATCAAGCTCCTTGTCTTGGCAATTCTTGCCGCACTCCTTTTCTCGGCTGGTGAGTTCGCGCGCTGATTCGCTGGTTCCCGACTCACCCCGTCATCGTTCACCTCTTCTAGGGTCTCCCTTCACAACGGTCATTGTTGCCTTGGTTGCTGCCAACCCTGTCCTGTTACTCATTGTCGCCCTCCATGTCCCCTTTCAGCTCTCCCGAGTTTGGCTTTGGGCCGTTGCCACGGAAAATTGAGGAAGGTGCTACCGACCGACAAGTGTTCGTTCATAATCACCAAGTACTACAGAAAACAGCCTTCGCTGTTCGTGAAGTACAACGGCTACAAATGCACCGATCCCCTCAAGGCCGGCTCCACCATCTGCCTGCCGTAACAGAGCTACGTGGATAAAATGATATCAGGAAGTTGCTTTGTGCTTTATCAACAGTACCAGTTTCTTCATGGCAGGAGCTCCCAAGTCTCCCCCAGAAGCCTTGCTTACCTTGTAGTTCATGAGTGCATGACATATTACCAGCAAAAGTACTTTTCCTTTCTGTCACCTCAACTGTTACCGGTAAGAACTTCAAGAATGGCTCACGAAGACATACACAGGGGGTATCTAACAAACCATACCCTCTACATTACAACCCAGCCCAGCTTATTACAAAGTACGCATGACAAATGTATACATTACATTGACACACCCCCCAGTACATGCATCCACGAATTCCGCTGAAACACCATGACACTAAACCTTCCAACCTACCTCAACAGCTTTCTATCAGGCGATTATTCCACTGCAGCATCTTGACGCCCAGGTTTCTCCTCAAGACCCGCTGGGCTCCTCTCAGCCAAGCCAGTTGCACACAGCATCGTGACAGGCATTGTTATTGCTGCCTCTCCCCTCCGTGCATTGTTGGCTCAGCAGCCTCAGCATGCTGTTTTACTCTTTAACCCTTGGGAGTCATCATCAAGGCCACCTCGGCTTGCCATCCTTCTTCCCCTCGTTGCGCTTCCTCTTCTGCCCGCTTAAGTGCTTTCTGCCCGCCCACCATCCCTTCTCCTTGCTCCCACCGCCCTTCCCCTTTGCGCCTCCCTGCTTTCCCCCCGTCCCCATCCCCCATGCAGCCCTCGCCTCACCACCACCCTTGCGCCACCTCCCCCCCTTCGCTCCACTCCACCCCGTGTCATCCCTCCTCTCCCTCCTCTCCTCCTCCGCATCCTCATCTTCCTCCTCATCCCAAGCAGACCTCCCCCCTTCGAACTGCTGCCGCTTCCTTCTCTTCCCACCTTGCCCATCTCCTTCATCTCCCCCTTCCTCCCAACCCCCACGTCTCTTCTTCTCCTTCATCTGCCCTGCCCCCCTCACATTCCTCCACCCACCCTCCTCTTCATCCACCTCCTCCTCATACTCACGGCCATTGGGGTTCCCACTGCTGCCATCATCACTGTCCCAGAACCACTTGTGCTGCCCTTTCTTTCCTTGCTTCCCTGTTTTCCCCCATTGCCCCCTCTGCCCTCTCTGCCCCTGCTGCCATTTGCCGCCTCTCCCTGTATCAAAGCGGGCGGCAATCATAATGCCATCCCCGATACGATCCTCCCCGCTATCATCACTGTCATCATACCCCACAAACCGCGTGTCATCCCCGTCACCACCACCATCCATCTCCTCCTCTTCATCACCATCATCACTACTCAGCTGAGCCATAGCAAAGCGCTTCTTGCCTCCCTTTCCACCCCCATCCTTCCCTCCCCTCCACCTATTTCCACCATCTCCACTTCCCTCCCCCCCCTCATCCTCCTGCGTGCCCCGCCCCCTGCGAAACGTCTTGGGGCAGTCCTTGATCAAATGCCCCGCCTCGCCACACCGGAAGCACCGCCGCCCCTCTGACCCCCTGCCCACACCCGCTGCCCTCAGGTGACCAGCAGGTGTGTCGGCACCTGCTGTTTTGTATCTGGTGGCGGGGCTGTGTGTAGCGAAGTTGAAGGAGTTGAAGTGGCGTGAAGAGGGGCACTCCTGACAGTGGGCAGGGTAAGGGGGAGAGGAGGGGGTAAGGGGGAAAGGAGGGGGTAAGGGGGAGAGGAGGGGGTAGGGTGTGCGCAGAGCAGAGGGAAGGAGGCGTGAGAGAGTGGTTGCTGTTGTAAAGTGTAGGGAGGAAAGCAACGAGGAGGATGGAGCAGACTTATGAGGTGGAGTCATGTGGTGATAAGAGGGAATGAGGAAAGACAAGAGGAGATGGGAAACAAGAGAAAACGATGAGGGCAGCGAGCAGGAGAATGAGCGAGGGGCACGAGGGCGAGGACGGCGAGGTGGAAGCGGATTGAAGGAGACGGCATGCTAGGAGCGCAGGGAGGGAGGCAGGGGTGGTTGTGCAGGTGGAGAGAGGGAAGGCGCAGCAACGTGTACCTTGAAAGCACGACTCTTGGTGGCCTGCCACTCTTTCTACCTCCCTCCACCGCCCTCTCCCTGCTACCTCCCACCTCTCACCCCCCCAAGCTGCCCCTCACCTCTCACCCCCCAAGCTGCCCCCCACCTCTCACCCCCCCAAGCCCCCCACCTCACACCACCCCCCGCTCCCAGCAGCACCTTCATGCTCCCGCTCACCTCGCCGTGGTGTCCCCTGGCGCCACAGCAGCAGCACGACGGCTTGGGTGGCGGGTCTGCCAGCTCAGCGCACGCCAGGTGGCCCCACTGCAGGCACACGTGGCACTGCACCCTCGCCAGGTCAGCGGGATCGTACGGCTGCCAGCACTCCCCAAACACATGCCCCTCCCCGCCACACCTCATGCACTCCGCCGCCCCACTTCCCCGCCCTTCCCTCTGCGCCCCTTCCCCCTCTGCCTTCGCCACCCCCTCAACCTCAGCCTTTTTCTCTCCGCCTGCAGCAGCAGCAGAAGCAGCAGCAGTGCCACCATCGCCAGCAGCAGCAACAGTACCGTCCCCACCCCCACCAACGGCAGCAGCACCACCGCCACCGTGAGCGCCCTTGCGCCCGCCATCACCAGCCACCCCCTGCGCCCGGGTCCACGTGCGGGAGGGGCAGTGCCTGACCACGTGGCCCGGCTGCCCACAGCGCACACACATCACCCTCTCGGGGCACCGCCGCTCTGAATGCCCCAACCCCCCACACACGCAGCACACCCTCCCCTCGCCCTCGCCCTCCCCCGCCCTCCCCCCTGTCCCCCCTTCACCCCCCTCCCCCTGCTGCGCGCCCTGGCAGACGTGGGGAAGGGGCCCGGCGAGCACGAGGCCACAGAGGTAGCACTGGTGCTGCCCCTCGGCCGGTGTGAAGTAACGTGGCAGCCGCAACAGCCGCCGCATCTCCACGCTCTCCCCGCCTGCCTCCCCCGCTGCCTCGTCCCCTGCCTCGTCCCCTGCCTCGCCTGCTGCTTCCGACTTCCGTTGAGGCCCCCACTGGGCCTTCCCTTGGGAGTTCGACTGGTCGCCCTGCTGCCCACTCGCTGCTGCGCCATCGGCTCTTTCTCCCTCTGCCCCCTCTGCTCCCTGGCCCTTCGCCTTCTTCTTCCGTTTCTTTTTCCTCTGCTGCCCGTCCTGGTTTTCATTCTGCCCGCCCTCCAAAGCCGCACTCTGTCCCTCGCCTGCCACTGCCGTCGTCCCCTCCTCCTCTCCTCTTCTCTCTCGGCGTCCCTTTTTCCTCCTCCCCTTGCCAGTCTTCTCCGCCCCTTCCTCTCCCCTCTCCCCCTCCCCCTCCCCCTCCCCCTCCCCCTCCCCGGAACCCGTAGCCCCCACTGCTATTTCACCGCCTGCAGTCGCCCCGCCTGCTCGCTCCTCACCCCTATCGCGTGCCTCCGCCCCTGCATCACTCACCCCATCCCCGTCCCCTCTGGCCGGTCCGTCTGCCCTTGCCTCCTCCACCTTGTCACTCTCCGCTTCAACATCCGCCATAAATTGTTCCACGCTGGCCCTTGTCGTTTCCACGACACCCGTTGTCTGCTCCACGTCATCAGCCCTTGTACTGTCCATGTTCATGTCCACGTCCGTCCTTTTATCGCTTACGTCAGTCCCGGTTTTCCCCACGTCAACTCTGGCGGCGCTAACGTCAGCCCGTGCATGCTCCACGTCAGACACCGTGTCGCTCTCTTCTAGCGTCAAGTCAATAATCGGACTCGTTAGTGGCATTCTCGCTACAATACGAGCATCTCCGCGCGCCGTCGTTCCAACGTGCGTCACTGCAGACTCACCTTCGACAACAGCATCTCTCGTTACAGCATCCCTCAGGACAACGGAATCAAGTCTACTATCCGAAGCTTTCGTTGCATCAGCATCGTCGTGCAACACTGTAGCTTCCCTCCCAGCTACATTATCGTCGTCGTGAGAGGCTGTAGCAACCCGATCGGCTGTAGCGCCCAGGTCGGCTGTAGCGCGTTTTTTGACCGTAGCACGTTCACTGGCGCTGGCGTTCCGATCGGCATCAGCGCGTGACAGGGCGGCATCGTTTTGCAGTCGAGGCTGATCGCTCTCGTCGCCCGCTAAACCCCTTGCTGCCCCGTCCCCCTCGCCTAAAACCCGCACTGCTCCGTCCGCTCCGCCTAAAACCCGCGCTGTCCCGTCCGCCCCGCCTAAAACCCTCGCTGTCCCCTCATCCTCACCTAAAGCCCTCGACGCAAAAAACAGTCGTTCGTACTGCGGAACGATCGATGGCGGGAGGACCGACGGAAGGGCCGACGGCGGAAGGACGGCGGAAGGCCCAGGGGAAGACCCGGGGGAAGACCTGGGGGAAGGGCTCACTCCTTCTGCCTTGCTCGCCTTCTCTAGCATCGCCATTGTCGGCCGGCGCGGTCCGGCATGCAAACGGCGAGCGCAAGATGCGTTGCCTAACGAGCTCTGCAGAAGCGACAGGGAAAGCTCGCGAGCGGCACGACGAGTAGCGAGGTCGCGACACGCGTCGAGGCTGCTGGACAGCGGAGGTCGCACCGCAAGAAGGGTTGCTTGAATGGCCCGAGAGTATCGAAGAAAACCCTAATGCTAGTAGAGGTGAAGAAGAATCTGAGGCTCCATGGGGCAAGCCTTGAAGAAAGAGGCGACAGAACGAGGGACGGGAAAAGAGCACCAAGTACACCCACAGAGCGCACAAATTACGGAGGTGGAGTGGTTAGTGCTGGGAATTTCATTGCGTGTTGGTGTGAGGAAACGATCGGATCGGGAGTTGGGACCGCCTGAAGCAAAATGTGCGAAGCTGCGTTGAAATTAAGTTCGGTTCATCTCAGTTCGCAACCAATCGAGCCTGCTAGCTGCGAAACCAGATCCGTCGCCAATTTCTGGACGAACACCGCTCGCATATTCTTTTGTGGTAACAGTGCAGGTCAGGTTGTTTTGTTCTGCTCTGCCAAAAGCAAGGTTTGAGAGGAAATACCAAAATTCTGGCCCTGGTGTCTCTTCTGGTTAGGAGGTGTCCTGCACGTACATTTACTGTTCGTAAGCCCGCTCAGTTACCACATTTTTTGTTGTAACACTGTATTGAACGTGTCCTGCTGACACAATCAGCTTTCGTTCACAAGACGGCACGCCCCCTGCACGTACCTCAAGTCGTCTGACTCACGCTACTGGAATCAGCGGGGACGCGAACAAGGGTACAGCACCGCGTACTGGCCACTACAGTCGTGCCCCCTGTATCGCTTGCACAATTTAGCCAGTAGCTCGCTACACTCGCCAACACCCCCCCCGCCTGCCCAAAAAATCGTTAGATATGATTGACGAGGGAAACTGTTACCTCGTTTCGAACATGATCAGAGCACTGTTGATTCGTGTGGCGGAGAACGGGTCCGCGCTCCTGAAATTACAGGTTCGGGACTCAACTCTCAATGCATTCGTTTTTAGGTACAGTGATTATTTTTGAACCTCAAGACGTGTGTTGGCACAAAAAAACCTGATGAAAGAACTAGACACACCCTTATAAAAAACCAACCCATAACTTGGTTTATCCAGTGTTTCAATCAGAACGTGTTGCGGAGTTCGATCAAAGACCGAGGATCTGGTCAGGCAAGATCGAGGATCGAGAACCCAATGTCGATCCGCAACCGCACGGCAACCACCTGCATCTATGGGACTAGCTTCATACCAACCTTCCCGCACGTAGGCGGATTCTTCAGCAGAATAGAGATACCATTGGAGAACCATGACCGCATACATGCCCGTGAACGGATTTCGTCGCGCTTCGGCTTCCTCTGCGTCTGCTCCACTGCCACATCACTCTCGCGCGCTTCCCGCCCCTCGTCTGCCCCACCACGCGACTTGTTTCACCGGAGCTCCGCGCGGAACCCCTCTGACGGCATCCCTCCCCGCCGCTCCGCCATTCGCGCTGCTGGCGGCCGGCACCGGGCCCCAGAGCGCTGCCATGCGCGGCGTGGCGGCGTTCCTCCGCGGCTTCCTCGATTCCGCGCTGCCGCTGCTCGCCCTGCTCGCGCTGCTCTCCGCGTTCCTCCGCTTCCTCCCCCCCCAACCCTCCGTAAGAGCTCCCGCGCCCCGTCCCTCTCCTCCCTGAGCATGAGCTCCCCTCGCCGTTCCCCTCTAAGCATGTTCCGCGCCCTGTCGTCCACCCGCACTGTCGTCCACCCGCCCTGTCGTCCACACGCGCTGCGTCCTGCACCTCCCCTGTCCAACGGCCCCCCTGTGCTCCTCTGTGTCTGGTTCGCTCTTCACTCCACCTCCCACTCGCGCCATTCGAATACAGGCCCCCCACTCGCGCCATTCGAATACAGGCCCCCCGCCGCGTGCTCCCACCCGCCCTCCCCTCTCGCTTATGACTTCCCTGACTGCCTCCCTTGCCACTCACCTCATTCCCGCTCCCTTCCCCTCCCATGCACCCACCCGCCGTGGCCCCACCCTCCCATGCAATGGCGCTGAGGGCAACAGGAGGAGGTGGGGCGGTGGGAGGAGGCGCAGGAGCAGAGCGCCGATGCCGCCACCACCATGCTGCTCGCCGCGCTCCGACGACTCAAGTGTGAGCCGCCTGCCCCCTGTGCTGTGCTCCCTGCCCCCTGCCCCATGCCCGAGTTGCGAGCCTCGTATTTTGGCACTCCTGCCTGCTGACCTTCGAGTCATCCCTACGACCATCATCGTCATCCCCTCCACTTCCCCTTTCCTTGTGCCCTTCCCCTTACTCTTCCTCTTCCCCTTCCCACACCCATTCCCATCCCCTTCCCATTCCCATTCCCATCCCCTTCCCAGTTCCATACCCTTCTCCATGTGTATCTTTCATTCCCCATCGCCATGCATCTTTTCTCTCCCTCGCCTCACCCCATCCATTCTTCACCTCACCCCATCCATTCTTCACCTCACCCCATCCATTCTTCGCCTCACCCCATCCATTCTTCACCTCACCCCAACCATTCTTCACCTCACCCCATCCATTCTTCACCTCACCCCATCCATTCTTCACCTCACCCCATCCATTCTTCACCTCACCCCATCCATTCTTCACCTCACCCCAACCATCCCCTCACTCCTCTCCCCACCCATCCCCTCACTCCTCTCCCCACCCATCTCCTCACTCCTCTCCCCACCCATCTCCTCACTCCTCTCCCCACCCATCCCCTCGCTCCTCTCCCCACCCATCCCCTCACCCTCATTCGTTCTGTTCATTCCCCGTCCACCATCCATTCCTCACCCCCCCATGCAGCGGAGCCACAGAGGAAGCGCCTGGAGAGGGGCCTGCCGGGGTGCATCCTCTCATTCCTCGTCCACCATCCATTCCACACCTTATCCCATGCATTCACCCCATTCTTCCATGCAGCGGAGCCGCAGAGGCAGCGCCTGGAGAGGGGCCTGCCGGGGTGCATCCTCTCATTCCTCGTCCACCATCCATTCCACACCTTATCCCATGCATTCACCCCATTCTTCCATGCAGCGGAGCCACAGAGGCAGCGCCTGGAGAGGGGCCTGCCGGGGTGCATCCTCTCATTCCTCGTCCACCATCCATTCCACACCTTATCCCATGCATTCACCCCATTCTTCCATGCAGCGGAGCCGCAGAGGCAGCGCCTGGAGAGGGGCCTGCCGGGGTGCATCCTCTCATTCCTCGTCCACCATCCATTCCACACCTTATCCCATGCATTCACCCCATTCTTCCATGCAGCGGAGCCGCAGAGGCAGCGCCTGGAGAGGGGCCTGCCGGGGTGCATCCTCTCATTCCTCGTCCACCATCCATTCCACACCTTATCCTATGCATTCACCCCATTCTTCCATGCAGCGGAGCCACAGAGGCAGCGCCTGGAGAGAGGCCTGCCGGGGTGCATCCTGTATGCAGATGACCGCCGCCTGAGTGCATCATCGCTAAGAGCTGCTGGCAGTGACTCGTTTGAAGCGCATGGGCGCGAGTTCCCCTACTGGCTCGCCACCAAGCTCATCAACCGGTCAGCAGGGGGAGTGATGAGTTGAGGAGCAGGGGGGTGTTGAGTCAGCAGGTGGGGAAGTGAATGAAGCGGTGAGTAGAAGCGCATGGGCGTGAGTTCCCCTACTGGCTCGCCACCAAGCTCATCAACCGGTGGGGCGCGAGGAGCAGGGAGCAAGTCATTAGAAAGGGCATGAGTCAGCGAAGGGTTCAACGGGGGTGTCGAGCAGCGGAGGGAGTTTGGAGTCAACAGGGGGGGGTGTGAATCAAGCGGGGGGGTCCAGTAAATAATTATTCTCCTCGTGCACCCTCCTCGTTGAGGCAGTGTGCAACCGTGCACTCGCCCTCGCGGCAGGCCCTCGCCATGGCAGGCACCAGCTCTCTTGCCCCGCGCCCGCAGCATCACACGCTGCGCTCCCTCTTCACTCCCTGCTCCGTTTGTTCCCCCTCCTCCCAACCCCCCGTCTGCGCCATGCCCCACAGCGCGTATGCGCAGCGCCATGGGTACCGCTTCGTAGAAATGGGCGAGGCGGACAAGGAGCCAGGCAGACACCCCTCGTGGTTCAAGGTGCGGCCAGTGATCAGTCTTGCCTGCGTGGCACAGTCAAGTGATGCTTCTGAGTGATTTTTTTTCTGCATCTTACACACCTTTGTCCTCACATATTTAATTCCGCCCTACCTAGCCTCCCCACGCTGCTCCCCCTGTAGCTCCGCCCAACTTGCATGTATCTGCTAACAGACATTCTCCATCTCTTGCTACTCTTGCTGTCCCGGCGCGCTTATCCTCCATCCCTGCTCACCCCCTTCCCGTCGCCCCCAGTGCGCTTCCTACAGCGCCAGCTGGCGTGCTGCTGCGAGTGGGCATTCTCGGTCTCGTGCCTTCTAAATCCATGCGTATTCCCTCATCCCCCATCCCCGCACCCCCCACTCTGCCCTTCCCAGGTGCGCTTCCTGCAGCGCCAGCTGTCCTGCTGCTGCGAGTGGGCATTTTCCCTCGACTCAGACGCCTACTTCCGAATGGACAACCACCGCCTGTCCGTTCAGAGCTGGGTAGACCGCCTCACGCTGCTGGTAAGGCGTGCCACCCCACACTTGCATCACTCACTCCCCTCCCTTCCTTGGTAGCAGACCCTTCCCTCCCTCGACTCAGACGCCTACTTCCGAATGGACAACCACCGCCTGTCCATGCACAGCTGGGTCCACCGCCTCACTTTGCCGGTAACACCTGCTTGGGGCGCACATAGTTTTTCTGTCCGGCACCTCTCCACACCGCTCTCGACCGCTCCCTTGACATGCATGCATCACTCACTCGTTTTCGGGCCTCCACTCCGACTCCCACCGCCGCCTTCCTGCACCCATACGCGCCTCTACTCCAAGTGCATGCATGAGTGCGCCATCTCATTCTGCCCGTGACACTGGTAGGTCCGATTCTTCTCACGCTCTACCAGAATTCTTTCAGCTTCCTTTCTCCCACCGTTTGTCCCCCTTTCCCCTCTCTCTCCCTTTCACCCCTCCCTCCTGCCCCTTTTTTCCGTTCCCCCCCGTCTTCTTTCCCCTCCCCCCTTCAGCACTGCTTTGACTGGATAGCCCGTGAGTACAACATCTCGCTGGCCAACCAGACCTGGTTCCCACGGCCCCCCTCCTCCATCTTCTCGCACTCCCCGCCCTCCTGCCCCCCACCACCTGTGGGGGGCAAGCAGGGTGGGGGAGAAGACGAGGCAGGAGAGGGGGGGCATTGGGGAGGTGGAGGAGGGGGGGAAGGGGAGAGCCGAGCGGCGGTGTGTGTGGTGGCGCCGCGGAACGACGATGAGGCGTCGGGGATGGCGGAGGGGCGGGCGGGGGCGCTGTTCAACGGCAGTATGGAGTATGTCAACGCAGGGGTCACGCTCTGGAGGCGCTCCCCCCACTGCCTTAAGGTATGTTTAACTGCCTCATGGCTGTTCAACAGCAGTATGGAGTATGTGAATGCGGGGGTCACTCTTTGGAGGCGCTCCCCCCACTGCCTCAAGGTGAGAATTGAGGGGTCTCACAACGTGCAGGAGGGAGTTGGGGCGGGGGGGGAGTTGGGGGGGAGGGGATGTTCAACGGCAGCATGGAGTATGTCAACGCGGGGTCACCCTGTGGCGCCGCTCGCCCCACTGCCTCAAGGTGCTGCCTGCTGTTCCCTGCTCCTTCCTGCTCCTTCCTGCTCCTTCCTGCTCCGCCCTGCTCTCCTTGCTCCGCCCTGCCTCGCCCTGCTCCGCCATGCTCCTCCCTGCTGCTGCTGCTGCCGCTGGGGCTGAACATTCGCTCCATTCAAATCACACAAGCTATTGAGCCTGCCACTCACCCTCACGCTCCCCTTCTCCTCTCCCTCACTCATCTCTCCCTGCCCCCTCTCTCCTAACCCCTCCTTTTCGTCCCCACCCCCTCGTTGCAGCTGCTTGCCAGCTGGCATGAGGAGCCAGCGAGGCAGTACCTGTGGAGGCGCAACTGGGAGCAGCCGAGGCTGAATGTGCTGCTCGCCATGCCGCAGCACGTTGCTGACGTGGCAGTGGTGCCCTTCCGCGAGCTGACGGGGCACTCAGGGCGCGCCATCCGGCACCGCTGGCTCAACTCGATCATGACAGATGAGACGCGCAGTGACTTGGTCAAAGATGCGTTGCTAGGCAGCTTCTTGACAAGCTACATGTACATGTTTTGAAATTATAAGGCTTTACATTTAGTGTGTGTGATGTCTTGGAGGAGCGCTTATTTAAGACCCATATGTAACTAACCCCCTTTTCCCCCTAATCTTTGTATGAACCCCCCACCCCCCCCCCCCCCCCCCCCCCCCCCCCCTCCTCCCCCCAATGCTCTGTGAGACATTCCACACCCCACACCCCCCCGCTCTCACCCACGTTTTGTAATCACGTGCGCGTGCGAGCATGCACACCGTTGCAGATGTCAACGGGAGTTGTGGTTGGCCCCGTCCTCGCTTGGGCGGAGCCGACCTTGTGGTCGGGTGTACGGGAGGTGCAGCCGACCTGCAGCAGTGGGCGAACTGGTCGACGGGGCTGGTCGACCTGCACGGGGGCCACTGCAAGGGCGCCGACTTCGGGAGGTCGAATTGGGAGGTCGACCTATGGAGGACGTCGACTTGGTGACGCCGACTTGGGGAAGCCGACTTGGGTGGTTGGCTGACAGGGTGCTGGTCGACTTGGAGTTGGCCGACCAAGAGTGAGGCCGACCTGGAGCTGGTCGACGAGGTGCGCGGTCGACTTGGCGTGGTCGACCAGTGGTGGTCGTCGACATGGGTGGTCGACGGGCACATGGAGGAGCTGGTCGACGTGGTGGTTGCCCGGTCGACCAGGTTACCCAGGCAACATGTTTCTAGGGAGGCATGCGACCGTCGCCCATGTGGTTTTGGCGAGACCGACCTCGGAGGTGGCATCCCGAGGTCGACGTGGCTGATCAGGAGCAGTCGTCAGCACGAGGACGATTTGGTGTGTGCGCTGTACAGGTGACAAGACGCAGCCCGCCAATTATCTGTGAGCACCAGCGAAACAGGTGAGCTCCTGTCCTGCGGATGCAACGCTGTGCAACCGCCTTGCTGCAGCGTTGGCACGCCGTCGACTTGCAGTGCTGGCAGGCCGCGACTTTGCCCTGCTGGAGCGCGGTCGACCAAGTTATGCTGGAACGCGGTCGATTGAGTTGTGCTGGCAGTTGACCGACTTGTATGCTAGCCCTGATGTAGCCAGTCTTGCCAACTTTGTTGCGATCATTTGGTACCATTGTTGTCATGTTTTTCTAATGAAACTCTTGCCAAATTCTCCTGTGAACTAGCAAGTAGTGTAGGCACAAGAAAACGACTAAGGCGCGCGAGATCATTCCTACCCCGTGCCTAGCCCGTAGTCAAGCTTCCGCTGATTGTGTTATCTCCGCAGCAGACACGCGAATAAGTTGCAGGGTCAGATGATGTCCACTTGTGTCAAAACATTAGCGCAGCTGACCCTCGACGTAGGGAGTGCATGGCGGTGCGGGCGAAGGCGGGACCGACGCAAAGACGCGCAGGAGACCGGAGACAAGTCATTGACTGGACATGCTACAGAGGCGTAGGATGGACGTTTGACCAAGACAGAAGTGCCACAAAACTGTCGGGTGGGAAAGTGACCGGCAGGAGCACGACGCAGCGACCTGACCAGACGCAGCTACCTCGGGGGGCGCCGTGTGCAGAACGAAGAGACCCAAGTTGGGCTCTCTAGTGAACGTGGCAAGAACTACCCCGGTGGAAGCGACCATATAGATTGCAGTCCTCCCGTGTGCAGGAAAAGTGGTTGTGATCTCACGATCCTGAAGATATCCAATACCCACCAAGTTCCGAGAGAACGAAGGGATGTAAAGACCAGTGAGGACACCACAGGGAACAGCCGGGCATGGGATGGTGGTAGAATTGCGAGCGATTTCTGTTCCCGAAGTAGGATCAGCCAGGGAAACTGGGAGCAGAAAGAGGCGTGACGGTTGTTTAGTCGTGGAAGAGGCACTGAGACGCGCCAGAGTCGAGCGTGAAGGAGAGCGACGCAGCAACCACAGGTGCACCTGGGCTAGTAACCACACAAGCACCTACACTAGAAGCACAAGTCCCTACACTAGCATCCGGTCGAGGTCCTAAGCTAGGCACACGCAAATCAACAAATCCAAAAATCCTGGAGTTATTAACAAACATGGCAGTATAAGCTTTATACGTAGACATTGAATATATATTGTAACCATGGACAGAGTAGGCCAGCACGGAAGCGACGAGTCAGGCCCAAAACGCTCACGGTACAGGTTGTCGAGGCGGTAGTAGCAGTGGAACGTGGAGCGGTTAGGGCGCAAGCAAGTAGTGCTCGCTCCAGGGCCAGTCAGGATACGGTACTGGCAGGGGCCGACGTCGCGACCACCCGCCTAGTCCACCATCTGGCTATACCGCTGCTGGGGGCGACACTCCTCAGACCAATCGGTCCCCACTGCCGGGAGTGTTGCGGCTGTTGCCACTGCGGCTGTCCCTGCTACTTCAGAACTCTAGTGGACGCCATGGCATAAGCCAGAGGGGCGTGAGAGCAGCAGGAGGCGTGTGGGAGAGACTGCAGGTACGCATGCAACTGCAGCTGCCAAGTGCCTCACGTTGATGTGCTTCACTCTGCTCTCTAGTCAAGGCTCTCAACACAGGAGGATCATGGCATTGTTGTTAGCGAACAAGTTTGGCTGGAGCATGAGGAGCTGAAGAGTTTGGAGCAGGAGAGGCTGGAGCTAGACCAGCAGTAGCGGGAGCTGTAGCAGCAGCGGGAGCAGCAACAGCAGCAGAAGCAGCAGCGGCAGCAGCAGCGGCAGCAGGAGCAGCAGCCGCAGCATCCGCTGCCCTTGCAGCTGTTGTCTCCACCTGTGAGTGGGCGTCGGGCCCTTGGTCATCCTTCCCCTCCTCCAGACTGTTCATTGTCTCCTCCTGCTTACGGTCCTACGTTTCCCCTCCCTAGACTTGTCTCTGGCTATTTTCTCTTCGCCTCGGTCACAGTCGTCTCCTCTTGTTATCCCACACGACTAGACAGTTTGCAATCCCTCCCATGCACGTCCCTCGTCTCCTTTTGACGACCTCCGCACTGTCTTACTTCGTTCGAGTCCTCGTCGTTCTCTGCCTCAGTCCTTTCTTCCGTCACCTCCTGAGTCATCTCTTATAGCCTCCACCTCTCCCCCTATCACTGACTACTACCCTGCCACCCGTCCTGTTGTCACCTGTGATCTCGCCGACGACGGTGTCGCGTGCTGGGTGCTCGTCTACGTTGATGATCTCCTTGTCGCCAGCAGCAGCACTGCAATGCCGAAGGAGTTGAAAGAGTTGCTGGAGGCTGCCTTCGAGTTGCGCGAGATCTCGCCGGTCGAGAAGTACCTCGGGCAAGAGATCGTGCGCGATAGGCCGGCGAGTAAGCAGTGGCTCCACCAGTAGACCTACGTCGACAAACTACGTCGGCGCTTCATCGACGAGGAGCAGGGCAGCCGGATTCTAGAAACGCCGGTCTTCGTCGACACCTACGCCGAATTGACATTCGAAGACGAAAAAACTCAGGCACGCGAGGAGGAGGAGGAGTACTGTCAGAAGGTCGCCTCGTGCAGTTCACGGCAACGACGATGAGGCCAGACATCGCCTTCTCGTGCAGCAAGCTGGGGAGCAGCTTGATGGTGAGGAGCAACCAGCATTAGCATGACGCCGACGGCTACCTCGCCTACCTCCCCGACACCCGTGACACCGCCCTGGAGTTCGGTGGTGGACCAGAGTCGCTGTGTCTGGTCGGCTACGTGGACGCCGACGACGCCGGCGACAAGCAGAACCGGACGAGCACGGGCGGCTACGTGTTCATCTTCGGAGGGGCCGCCATCTCCTGGTCGAGCCAGCGCATCAAGTGCACGACGCTCTCGTCGACCGAGTCGGAGTACGTCGCGGTCATGGACGCCGGCAATGAGGAATGCCGACTTTGATTCCTCCTTGCAGGGTTCCAGCAGCTCAACGCTGGGACGCCGACTGACCTCCAGGTGGACAACAAGTTGGTCATCACGGTCGCTCGAGGCTTGGGGCTGAAGGGCAACCTCAAGCACATGGAGCGGCGATACGCCTGGCTGCAGTAGATGGTGACGCATGGGAAGTTCGTGCTGAAGTACATCCCCCAGTCGGCCGACTTCCTGACGAAGGCGCTGCACTTTTCGGCATCCTATTTTGACAGGGAGGTTGACGAAGGTGGTCGTAGGCCTTTGCAAAGGAATATCGAAGAGGCCGTCGGTAGTGGGAGTTCGACGGCTTCAGCTGACCAAATTGGTCAACGGAAGTGTCCGTTGACGAGGGTTGTCTTCCACAAGAGTGGTGGTCGACGAGGGAGGTCATCGACCAGGGTGCCGGGGTGATACCTAGTTGACTGGTAACCTCATCGACAAGGTTCCACAGGGGCGCGCGAGCGTCGTCGAGGCTGCGATGGTGAAGGCGACCTCGGGTCGGTATTCCGAGGCTGGCATGGAGCTTCTGGCGCAACTGTCGGCACGTGGCCGACCTGGCACCTTCGCGATGGTAGAATACGTGCTCGACCGTCACTGAACACCTGCGCTGTCACCCACGGTTGAAAACGTGCTCAACCGCTCTGCTGCAACGTTGGCAAGTTGCCATGGTGCAGCATTGGCAAGCCGCCGTGGTGAAGCGTTGGCAAGCCGCCGACTTGCTTAGTTGGCTGGTTGCCTTTCTACAACGCTGGCGCGGTGCCTCTACGCAACTCTTGCAGATGTCAGCCTTGCTGCGCTTGCGGTCGACCAGCTTGCCTGCTAGGTTGCTAGGCTCTGACGCAGTCATTGTTGTCTTTGCTATTTCTGTAACAACGTGTGACTTGCCATAGCGAGTGAACTTCCCGAGTGCCGAGTCAACGGAAGTTACTTGCGGTTGCCTAAACCGCTTGAACCAACGCGGATGTGAATCAACGCCGGTCCAGGTGCATGCAAGATCAACCGAAGGGGCGCACGCATGATCAACAGACAGGGAGTCCGAACGACAGGAAGTTGGGTATGGTTGCCAAACCGTAGACAAGCGACTACAATCTGGACGCATGGAGGTTACATGCGGCTTGCCAAGCCGCAAGTGGGACCGAAATAGCCGCTTATAAAGTAGTCGGATCTCGAGTAATTCTTAGGATGAGCTCACTTCCGACTGCT